AATTTTTCAATTTTTTTAATCTTAAATGTACCCATTCTCAAATATATCAATTTGTTATATGTAAAATGTACCCTTTTTTTAATATAAAATCCTTTCAAATTTTTTAATCCATGTTTAAACTTATATGGGTACATTCTTTTTCGTTGATTTGAGAATGTATCCATGTTTTGGTACAATAACTTTTTTGTTAATTTTGGTTAATGTACCTATACATATATGTACACACACACACACACACACAATATAATAGAGAGTATAATTTATATTTTATTATTTTTAATCCCATAAATTATGGTTTTATTTAAAATCTCATTAATATAAACAATTACAAATTTCAATTTTTAATTTTTAATTTAAAGAATATATAGTAACTTACATTATTACATTAATGTCAGGGACCTCAATCAAAAACTAAAAACTAACAAGGTTTCAATCAAAGAATATTGATAGCTAGGGACCGCATCCTAAGTGTACCAACAATAAAAATTAAATGATCTGTTATTGTTATCGGGAAGTTAAAATCAAACAATAAATGACCATAATTTTCTTGTACCAAGCGTCTACGAAAAACCTCAAGCAAGACGGGTCTTTGTTATTATTCTCTAGTGAGATGAGATCACAAGCAGCTAAATAGATCAGAAGAACTCAATTTTGGAGCATTTAAGAGGAAGCCTCAATATCCTCATCTCATGGTCGGACAAGGATTGTCTGCCCTCCTTGTTCTCGTGCCCTCCCATGCCCTTTTATTTGTGTAGTCACGATTAAGTCACATCAACATTTTATATTACTATTTATTTTTGTTTTATTATCTCTATAAAAAAATAATTTAAAATATTAACGTGACTTAATTATGATCACACAAAACAAAAGGGCACAAGAGAACACAAGAACAAAGAAGGCAGACAATCCTTGTCCCTCGTGGTCAGCCTGATGGAAGGCCCAACTAATGAGCTTATTAATTGAACTTATTTGTTTATATACTGCATGCAGGTTTCCAAGACTCGGAACCTGGAATTTGACGTCTTCCAGTTGAACAAATTGAAAAGACTTCTCACATCTTCGAGTTACCAAGAAGCAGAGAGTTACAGAAACCGAGAGTTCAGTTCTTCTGACCGCAGGTTGGTCAGTTCCGAGTAGGATGTTATCCTCTTTTTTTTTTTTTTTTTTCTCTTCTCTTCTTCCATTACCTTCTATTTGAATGGTTATGATTAAATTACGTTAATATTTTATATTAATTTTTTATAAAAAGAAAAAAATAAAATAAAAAATATGAGAGAAGGAGATGAAAAAGAATGGAAGGAGAAGGGGAAATAATCCTACTTCGATCAGTTCCTTGTTAAGTTGTATAGTATATCTTGTAAAATCTCTGTCAATCTGTTAACCTATCTATATTCTTAGCGGACGTGGCGGCTTACTAGAAATCTGGAAAATTTATATATACTAAATTATGTGCAACCTTATTGTATATTGATATGGAGTTTAACTAAATTAGTTAGAGCAGTGCATTTTCACTTTTGCATTAAATTACTGTTAAATCTTGCTTATCATAATTTATTTGAATTTTATGTAATATATTATTGCTTGTCAAAAAAAAAAAAAAATCCACCAAGAAAACTGACAAAAACTACAAAACTTTAATGAATAATGATATGAATACACGACTTACACGACCCTAAAAGTAGAGCTAAAGCTTGTTTATAAACTATCTCAGACCCTAGCGTTGCTATAACAACACCTTATTAGAAGCAAAATATGAAAGTAACAACGTTCCAACAAAACCCTAAAAAAAATTATGTGTTGTCCATTTCCACATTGAAATGTCATGGAATGTTGCACGAGTTTGTAAGTGATTATGCCACTTTTCCAGTTGCCAATTAATTTAAGGGTGAAACATGGTATTATATTAGCTCACCTATGAGTGAAGTCCAACAACCATACATACTCTAAGTTATCCAATATGTGTTGTTCACCTGCAAAATGTAAGGGAGCATATGAGAATGTCAAGGTGTTGACCCACACAATAAAGTCATGAAATTCCTTCACTTACAAGATAAGAGTTCTCTTTGAAACATCGTATTATAGGCTCAAAATACAGATTCGTGTTGTTCTCTTTGAAACTAACTAGGTTCAAATCAGAAATTGGAGCCTAAGCCGTAAATGCTGGATTTCATTGTTTATGGGCTTATGTTTGTCATATTTCTCCTCAGTTCTCTTTAGCCATCAGGTTGAGAAGAGGTTCCTTACTTGGCGACATAACATCTGAGACTAGAAAACTTTCATGCTTGAGAATCCACAAACAGACTTTCCCTTCGCTATGCTATATGCTTGATCACATTGCATGATAATTTTGTCATTTTTTCGACTAATTACTTTGTTAGAGTTAACTATATTTCACATCTTTAAGGTTTTGGGTGATTTTCAAAATAGACCACGAAGTTAAAAAAAAATTTGTATTGCACCACAAGCTATTTAAATTGTACCAATTTATGTCTTCAGTCTTATTGATTGTTTGATCATTCATTCAATTACTAACATGGTAAGTATGGAACTCATATATGGACTGCTATGTACGCCACATTTGCACTATATTGACAAAAAAATCTCATAAATTTGATGAAGGGTTAGACATTCCAAGGAATGAAAGGTATAATTTGATACAAATTCTAAACTTGAGGATCTGATATGAGAAAATTGAAACCTTATGGTGCATTTTGAAAACTATCTCAAACCTAGAAGGTGTAAAATGTAGTTAGATCCTCTAAGGGCTTGTTATACATTAGGTTAACTACACCTTACACTCTCTAGCTTTGAAATGATTTCAAAACGAGTCATGTGGTTCTAATTTTCTCACATTGAACCTTGAGATTTTGAAATTGTATCAATTTATATCTTTTCTCTTTGAACATCTAGTCCTTCGTAAACTGATTAATTTTTTGTCAATGTGGTGCAAATTTGGCTTACACGTTAGCCATTTTAAAGGCCTCACGCACAACGTGCAATCAATTCAATGAATGGTAAAAACGTCAATTTGACTAAAGACTTAAATTGATACAGTTTAAAAATCTTTAAGTGTAAATGAGAAAATTGAAACTTCAAGCCCATATTAAAAATCATCCCAAAAATTAAAGGTGTAAAATTTTGTTAACCTTAAACTTTTGTTAATTTAGCTAGTGAATAACGTCAGAATTGTCTTGGCTAACCTAATTTAACTTATCATTTCCAACAACAATGAATCATTTATAAAAATTTGTTAAATACTATGAGAGTTTAATATTTTTAATGTCTAGTTTACTATTAAGATCTCTTTCCTCCAAGTTTAATTTAGGGAGTGACCATTCATTGAGCTAAAGTAACTAGTTTTTTAAGTGTCTTGGAGCAAAATTAGTTGGTTTTTATTTTTTATTTTTTATAAAATAACTAAGCAAGAGCAAGTTTATAAGGAGATGCTCTTACTCCTTTTCTTTAATAAAAGAGAAATAGGAATTGGATTTGAAATCTCGTTCGAAATTAGTTTAAAAAAATGCCATTTAACTAAGCAAAATTTTTATAATTCGTTAGATTATAGAATACTTCTGACTTTTTAACCGTTAACTTGATTTTTTTTTAAATAAAAAACTAACAATTAAATGCATGAAGTATCTCATACTTCATAACACCTCAAAAAAAAAAAAAAAACTAATGAAAAAAGTTTGAAAACTTTAAATTTTAATCAAAATGACAAAAAAATATTGTAAGTGAATAGTACCATGAATGACTTTTTAGAATAAAAATGTCATTTTCGTTAAAAGTGAACGGTACCAAAAGTGTTTCGTTAAAACTCTAAAAAAAATATAGCTGGATATGTAGTTAGTTAACTCATGCTAAAAGAATCCCTACGTGGGAGGTCTGGTGGAAAGTAGAAATTAGAATGAGTGCGTAAATGCAGTGCAAATAGTATTAATATCTCAAAAAGGGAGGCAAGATTCTCTACCCTCCCACTTCCACTGCCCTTCCGTATTGTGTGATCACAGTTAAGTCACGTTAATATTTTATATATATTTTTTATAAAGATAATAAGATAAAAATAAATACGAATATAAAATGTTAATATGGCTTAATTGTGACCGCATAAACAAAATGACACCGAAAGGCAAAGGAAGTGGGAGGGCAGAGAATCTGTCTCCCTCAAAAAGAGTTCTCTGCCCTCCCTCAAAAAGAGTAGGGAAGATGGGGGATGAGATTTAAAGGTTAGGTTGCCTTATGTATTGCTCAAAGAGGTGTTTTTGCATTTAAGCCTTTCGTGCGTGTCTGTGTACGTGTCCTCCTCCTGGTAATAAACTTTAAAGCCCGCACTTATTTCGTGATTCACTAACGACCCGTCGTACGGTCAAAGTCGTAAATGAGGAAAGTCCCACGGTTCACATTCTTTATGCATTCCCCTTGCTTCGACACGTGCTCTCTCTCCTCCCTCTCTCTCCGCTCTCTCTCGCTCTCGACAACATTTTTTGGTTAAAATATACAAAGTATTCCACTGCATGAGAAATTTTTTAGTATATTTGAAATACGAGTGATACATTATATATGTGGAGGAAAATTTACTTGTACATGTAGTTTACCAAATCACATTTTGGACACAAAATTTATGTGATATCACCATACATTCAATGCAATTCCGATAACACATAGGCATTAGAGTGCAATTGATCTTCGAATTAAACAGTATGCTAAAACAGAATCGGTGACTCTAAAAAGTACATCCTTAAAATTTTGAATTCAAAATAAATATTATACACCTTTCTCGCTTTTCACTAGACCAACGTCCCGGATTTTCTAAAACTAGAAATAAAGAAAACAAGTAGCGATTAAAATTAGTTAAACAAGTGAAAGCGTAAGAATGAGCTGGAGGGAGATTCCGCGTGCGTATGGGATTCGAGCTGTAATTGAAAGGAGCACAAACACCTCCTCACTTCCTCTCTTCTTCCTCACCCACCACCCTCTATAAATACTCCCACTACTTCACTTGTTTTCTTCACAACACAACTAGTTGTTTTCTTCCTCTTCTCCTTGTGCTGCTACTTGACCAGTTTATGGTTACTAATTCAATTCAATTCCAAGAAGAACTAGAAATTTAATGGAATCGAATATCTTGAACTCCATGTTCTGCATCTTTGCCTTTGTTGTCTTCTTCCTCTTTGTCATCAATTCCCTCATCACCAAGCTCTTCACTCCTAACCGCCGGAAAATCCCACTTCCGCCGGGTTCCTTAGGCTGGCCTTACATTGGAGAAACCTTCCAACTCTACTCTCAAAACCCAAATGTCTTCTTTGCCTCAAAACAAAAGAGGTAATAATTCATTTCATTCGTCCCAAACCCACATCGCTCTTAAGTTTTTTGCTTAATTCACCGACTAGTTGGTTTTATGTACTAATGATGTGTTTTAATTTAATTGATAGGTTTGGGTCAATCTTCAAAACCCACATCTTGGGTTGTCCCTGTGTGATGATTTCGAGGCCCGAAGCGGCGAAATTTGTGCTTTCTCGAGCCCATCTGTTCAAGCCAACTTTTCCGGCGAGCAAAGAGAGGATGTTGGGGAAAGAAGCCATCTTTTTCCACCAAGGAGATTACCATGCCAAATTGAGAAAGCTTGTCCTCCGTGCCTTCATGCCGGAAGCCATCAGAAGTATCGTCCCTGACATTGAATCCATTGCCAAAGACTCTCTCAAGTCCTGCCAAGGCCGCTTGATCAACACCTTCCAAGAAATGAAAACGGTGAGTTATTGTAGCAACACCCCCACTCCCTCATCAGAGCAAAGCAAAACAAAACAGAGAGAATTAGAGCTGTAAAGACTAACGTTAAAAATTGAGGTGATTAGTCTGATGAGATTGACCGTCATCTAGATTAGTCTGAGTCTGACAGGATTAACAGTTTGAGGAGAGAACATTTTCTGTTTTATTTTTATTTTTTATATAATATTAAAAGGGTGTGATATCTACGTATCCTATTTTACTTCTCACACATCTTTTTAATTTTCGACCGTCGGACAGAAGATCAACGGACATAAATTATCCAGGATATGTGATAATTAAAATGAGATGTGTGGATAACATATTCCATATTAAATTGTTGTACTGAGAAACAATTATTGGTGGTGCAGTTCACATTCAATGTTGCACTCCTTTCTATATTTGGTAAGGATGAGATTCTGTACAGAGAGGATCTGAAGAGGTGCTACTACATTCTTGAGAAGGGTTACAATTCAATGCCCATTAATCTTCCAGGCACACTGTTTCACAAATCAATGAAAGCAAGGAAGGAGCTGGCTCAGATCTTGGCCAAAATTATATCTACAAGGAGGCAAAGGATGCAGTTAGAGGAGGAGGACCATAAGGATCTTCTGGGATCATTCATGGGTGACAAAGAAGGCCTCACTGACCAACAAATTGCCGACAACGTCATTGGGGTCGTCTTCGCTGCCCGTGACACCACAGCCAGCGTCTTGACTTGGATTGTCAAGTACCTTGGGGAAAACCCAAGCGTTCTTCAAGCTGTCACTGTAAGCATTCTAATCATCCAATTCCCTTTTTTTATTTTATTTAAAAACATTCTAATTTCCTTTTTTAGGTTGTAATTAAGTTGAATGGGATGTCATATTTACAGGAAGAGCAAGAAGCAATAATAAGGTCAAAAGAAGAAGAAGAAGAAGAGGAGAAAGTTCTGAGTTGGGCAGATACCAAAAAGATGCCCTTGACTTGTAGAGTGATTCAGGAGACACTAAGAGTTGCTTCCATTTTGTCTTTCACTTTCAGGGAAGCTGTGGAGGATGTTGAATATGAAGGTCACTAATTACCAAACCAATGATTTACTTTTTCACCTTTTTTAACTTGAAAGTTAAAATCTGTTTGCTGATGATCTCAAATATGGATATGTTTTCAGGTTATCTGATACCAAAAGGGTGGAAAGTTTTACCACTTTTCAGAAACATTCACCACAGCCCAGAAATTTTTCCTGACCCTGACAAATTTGATCCCTCCAGGTTTGAGGTACACAACGCATCATTCATTCAACAGATATAATGGCTAATGTTGGAGATAGATGTATAGTGGATAAAGACTCATCACCTTTATGTCATTGTGTGACACAGATTGCTCCAAAACCCAATACCTACATGCCATTTGGTAGCGGGACCCACGCATGTCCAGGGAACGAATTAGCCAAGCTGGAGATTTTGGTCTTTTTACACCATCTAACAACAAAGTACAGGTGGGTATTTTCACTTATTTTGGTAGTTTTGAATCTTGAGGGGGAGGGTAGGCATGCAGTGGGTGTGCTGTGCCTGCGGCAGTGGCAGCACTGCAGAGCTGCTAGCACCACCTCCTCCTGCTTTAACTTAATTTGTTGATCTGGTTGTGGAGGTGGCTGACATGTTATGTATGTGGGATCGTGCAGGTGGTCTATGGTTGGTGCACAAAATGGCATACAGTATGGCCCTTTTGCTCTTCCCCATAATGGCCTGCCCATCAGATTATCTCCTAAAACTATCATATAAAACCCCCATAAATCATAGACTCCCAAAAACATTCCAAGTCCCCAACTTTCAGACCCTCCCTCCCCCTTCAAGCTAGCTACTTGACGTGTATTACCATGCATGAGGAAGAAACCCACCACTCCAAAGTCCATTTCTTTTTGGCCGAAAGAGATGAGCAACATAAAATAAACACGTAAGATTTAAAGAAACATATCGTACATCTTCATTGCTTTCATATGTCCCATTAATATCCCAGATGACTGAAAGTCACTGAATATTAGGGACGTGCCCTCCGAAAGTCAGAAAGTTCAAGATACAAGAAATTAAACTTGTTGCAGCAGAGGAAGCCAAGTGTACAGAGAAGAGTCTTCCTACCAAAACATGATACGCAAACCATATCATGTTTTCTTTTTCTTCCCTTTATTTTTTTTTTATTTTTTTCTTTTTGGCATGCAAGAGATCATGAAGAGGAAAATTCCTCACCCAATGTGATAAGTATATTTAAGTAGCAGGTAGGAGTATACTAATTTCACCATAATTTTCTTGTTTACTTAAATAAATGTAAACAGCCGCAAGGCAGAAATGAAGATTCAAATGAATGGAATTAACAAAGTTAATTTTGTTCTTATATTCATTTTTTCAGTTTTAACCTCTTACTTGCATGCATCGTAATATCCCACCCAGGGCCGGTCCAGAGATTTTTGAGGTCCGGGGCGACGTCAAAAAAAGTGTTCTAATTTCATGTAAGAAAATTATTTATTTTCACACATAAGACATCGATAAAATTATACTTAGAAAAACACTTCAAATTCAATAATTTAGAAACACAGAAAAACTAATTTATTTTGTATTGAGAGAGGGAAACAAAAAAACTTCGGGCTTACAAGTAGATAGATGATGAGTTTTGTTTTCTATCTGAACTTTGAATGTGTTTTTTAATAAATCGTGAGGTGTTTTTTTTCTTATTTACTAACCTTGTCAATATGGGACTAAAAAATAATGATGTTCTCGAGTCTTTAATTGATAAGTATTATTAATGAATGGGCACTAAATTAAACATTTTGATGACACGTCATATAATTTGCAAATTTGGTCTACGTATTATTCTTTGTTGAAGATTAGACTTGAATTAAAACGAATATTTAAAAATAACAACCCACGTAGCTACTAGATAGTAACTAAAAATAAATTAACAACCAAACAAAAATTTGTAAAAATTGAAAAGAATAAACATGCACATAGCATTTCGAACTTAGGACCAAATTTTAATTAATTTATACTCTTATAAAAAGAAATTTGTAAAAAATGGAAAGTAAATAAGCACACATGGTGTTTTGAACCCAAGACCTCCTCATTATTTTCAAATGACAAACCACCACTTTTAGTTAAATTTCTGTGTCTTTGAACCAAATTTTATAAATTTATACTCTTATAAAAACATATATAAATATACCACTCTAATAATTTTGGTGCCCCTAATTTTTTTGGGCCTCGAACGGTCGCCCTGCCTGCACTGGGCCTAGGCCGGCCCTGATCCCACCACTAACACTAGTATATATTTACTTTGATTATCATAGTTGCTTTACATGGGCATGGTACTAATGGCAACTTAAAATAAGCGACCTCAAGCCAGTCTATAGAACGCATGGAAATTATTAATAGCCTATAGAACGCATGAAAATTATTAATAGCGCTCTTAAGAAAACTATGTGCATGGCTCATTTATCAAAATGTAAAACAACAATTGTACTTCTTAGAGTGCATGATGGTTTTTTTATTTAGCGCCAATAACAGCTTTTAAAGAAAAAAAATTCAATCATTCTTAAGCGAAGATGTATATTTTGTTTACTCACTCATTTTCTTTCGCTCACACGCACTCCATTTTCTCGTTCTCAATTAATTTTGTATGTGACATGTTTAGGCAAAGAAAAACATTTTATCTATACAAAATGGAAAGAGATATTGGAAAAGAATGCCAGATTACTCACGGCACTCTCTGATAAGTCTTATATACCATGGAGGGTACAAGATACATGATTCATATACACATGTTTTTGACTTGGTGCATATCTCTCTCAATTAGGTGAAGATAGGACCATCAATCATTATAATGTCTTGCTAAATTTAGACAGCTGTAGTTGCGTAGACAACAGTAGTGTGTATATATATACTATAATTGTGTATATACACATATACACAAGATATAGGGACGATTCATAACATCATTTTTTGTACACATCTTTTGACACACGTTTTCATTGGGCCCACTTCGTAATGTATTTCAATGATCCGAACCATCTAGCTTTTAGATTTTCTCTCAAAGATCATGTCCACAAAAAATCAGCCAAATATGAAACCATATGATCGTTACAGTTTCTTTATAGAACCGTATTTATCCATTTTCGTGACTACAAATGAATGTCATATTAGTTTTGAATGTCTTTTTTTATTTTATTATTTTTTTTTTGTAAGGATGATTTATATACAAATGATGTTCTAAAAGATAGACGGTTCAGATCATTAAAATATATTTATGAAGTGGGCTCCAAAAAATATGTAACAAAAGTCGTGTAGAGAAGTAGTACCACGAATCCGCTCTCAAACATATATGCACACACACATATATATATATTAGAAAATCCATAAACAACGATTATGGCTCTGATATGTGTTGTATGTATATGCCTCATCAGCAGCAGCAAGCAGCCTAGGGGATGGCATGGCGTACACGATGTGCCATAGAATGGGTTCTCATTAGTTGAATTTATGGACTACTATATCGAAAATATTTTTTGGTGCAAATTTATGTCAAGTTTCAAAAGAAATTAGCGGTTACAACTAATTACATTGATATTGCTTTAATTTAACAAACTTAATAATCCGATAAGTGTTGATTTTTATCACATAAAGCCTCCTTATTTTAAGTAGTGAAATCATTTGTTTATAAATAATATTCTCTCAGAGTTTTCAAAATGAATTTACTTGGGAAAAGTTTTCTTCAATCTGAATCTACTATAACACTCTAATATTAATAGTATTATTTTCTTGTTTAGTGTGCTTGTCAACATGATCACGTCTTCAGATTTGTGATATATAACTTAAAATGGAGGAAGCAACTCCAAAAACATGCGGCAAACAACTCTTGGACCCAACCTACAATGTGGTTTGAACAATAAATCTTTCATTTTCTTCTATTACGGGACCCACTTCATATCGAATTTCAATTATCTGAACTGTGTAGGTTGTAAATCTTGATTCATATATTATTCTTGCAAAAATTCAATTCAATTAAAAAACATTTGCTCATTCAATTGTCACGAATAAATTTCAATGTATCTTATACCATAGTGTTCGTCAAATTTTTTAACTGAATTTTGTTTTTGCACAAACGATATTATTTACAATAAGGGGGAGGGGTGGACTTAGCCTCACAATAGGTTAGCAACAATGTGGTTCAAATTTGCCATTGGCGAAAATCGAACCTAATACCTCTCACTTACATGTGAAGAGGAATACCACTAAACTGTAGTACTAAGTGGATTTGAACTGAATTAGATGCCTCAAATATTTCTGATTTGATCACTAATAAGAAGATCTATAAGGTGCAATTTGAAAAATAGATGGTTCATGTCGTTGAAGTTTGATGTCGTTTGGACCCCACAACTAATCCCTAATTTTTCTTTAAATGGTGTTCCCTTCACTTAAGATTCTGCATAAATAATAGATGAACACATGTTTTAGATAAAACCACTTAGTACTACGATTTAATGATATTCTTTTTCATTTGTAAATGAGAAGTTTTAGGTTTGATTCTCGCCAAAGATGAATTTGAGCCATATTATTGTTAGTTCATTGTGAGGCTTATCCCACTCTCCACCATTTTAGTGTAGATAATATCATTTGGTTAAAAAAAAATCGTATATTTTGCTATTTATATCTTTATAGATGATGTAAAATAATGAATGTTCCAAACCATGAAAACATATATATTGCATAAAAAAAATATCTCAACAGAGTCATCAAGGCTGCTATTGAGATTCCCAAGGTCTAAATAAGCATATTAAGATGGACCTCTTGGGGAGATTTTGTCATACAATCAAGTTTTATTCTTTGTATTGTTACTATCTAATAAATATTTGTCATGTATTTAAAAAATTGACTATCAATCTAATAAACAATTATCGCGTGATGAATTGGTGAAGTGAGAAAATCTCTTGTTTGGTATGACCTTCATGTACTAAATTTTCTTCGAAATTAATCACAAAGATCTTTGGTTGTATATCATGTCAAGAAAAAGGAAACGATCAAACACATCGAAAACTTATATATTTATTATTTAATTCGGGTGGGAACTAGACGTGCTCTAATGTTTAAGTTTTATTTGACCTCATTAAGTTTTCGGCATTGAAATATTAGTTTATTTGAGTTTCTTTGGGGTTATAACTGGTTCAGTAATATTCGTTGTATCGCCCTAAGTCAATCATTCATGAAGTCTGTTATTATTTTTGATAATTAATTTATTAATCCAAATTAAAGGGCAAGATCATTTTTGGAATGTGACAACTGGTCCTTAACTTTATGATTTTATAAAAATTTTAAATGAGTGAATTGACGAAAATGCCCTGGAGGCTAGATTGTTGACTTTTGTTGACCGCCTTTCGTGACGCGTACGAGTTATTATTTTACCGTACTCTTGAAGTTCTCAACGGGACGATCGTGTAAGCGTAATCTGAATCGAAACCGGAGTTACAATAGGGGTTTTAAAGAACTACAAATCCGAAAAGCACTTTTGTAAAGATTACTATCTATTATTTTATATATTTTCCATAATTATTATATTATTAGTTTAATATTAGTAGAGAGGTTGCGGGAAAAAGAAAAAAAATGGAAGGAGGAAGGGGCAGAGCTGCCCAATCGGTAGGGGAGAGAGGGAGGTTTGCCGAATGGGAGAGGAGAGAGAAAGGAAGGAACCAATAGGAGAAGAAATAAAGGAGGAAAAAGAGGGAAGAAAGAAGAAGGGGGAAGAAACTGGGTCACCTCCTTGACCCGTTTTGTGACCCGACCTAGTTGGAAACAATGGAATTCGTGGGTTCCGCTGGCCAAATTTTGGTGATTTAAGCCGAACCACCACCTGGGAAGTACTCCACGACCCCCTCCTTATCATTTCCACCCCAAATCCGAAGAAATTAGGCTTGGAATCACGAAAAATTGCACCGGTGGGTGCAACGGGCCACGTCGGCGATCGGCCTTTTCCAAAGGCAATCACATCAATCTCCACCACCAAAACACTTCTTTTAAGGTCTGGAACAAAGCCCAAGCTATGGTAGAGGTGTCAGAGCTCACATGGAAGTTGAATCGAAACACACCAAAAACTAGGGTTCCGATCGTTGGGAAACTTCGGGTGTTTCTCGGCCGAATTGGACTTGGCCACCCACATGTATAAAACTTACTCTACTCATAGAGATCTTCATTCTTGTAAAATTTGAGAATTTTTGGAAATAATTGAATTTTCCGATGAGTCAAGACAGTCAGCCATCGTGTGCGGCGGCGCATGGGCCAAGACCCCACCTGCCATTCCTAGACTAATTTAGATACCCTGATTCCATATGTGACGTTCGATTGACGAAATCTCGT